CATCATTGTACATTTACAAATATATATGTATATATCCCTTTTGATATGTATAAACAAGCTTAAAATTCTTATCTCTTCAATATTTATCTTTCACTCTTTTGGAATGCCTAATTAACCCATAGCAATCTGCTTCTCTGATTGATTCCTGATGGATACTGCCTAGGCATCTGTGCAGTAAAGGATTAACTCGGCAGGCCTGGGTTGTGCAAACCTGCACATCCCAAAGAACTGACTGGCTCTTGGGGCACCTGGGTGACTCAGTCGGTCACCTGTTGTCCAATTCTTGATTTCAGCTCAGGTCTTGATCTCACAGGTTCGTGGGGTCGAGCCCCGCATCGGACTCTGCACTGACAGAGCGGAGCCTGCTCGGGATTCTCTCTCTCTCTCCCCCTCTCTCTCTCTGCCCCTCCACCCACCAAAATAAATAAATAAACTAAAAACAAATCATAGTTGCGAGATTCGTCTATAATGTTGTGCGTAGTTGTAGATCAGTTTTCTAATCACTTAGTATTCTATGGTGTGAACACGTCACAATTATCTATTCCTCTGTTGTTGGCATTTGGATAGCTTCTAGATTCTACCTATTAGGAAGAGTGTTGCACCCACTGGTTCAACCATCCCAGAACAAACTCCGGGTCGCTGGAAAGAGCCTAAAAGAAGTTTGCTCAACACTGGGGAGGCCCCTGGAAACTCTTGCCGTTACAATAATAATAACAGCTCGCTCTGTGTTAGGACCAAATACACATTTTAACAAAATATCGAATGGCTATTTGGTCACAGGCAAAGATCGCCATTATAGAATAAACTTTAGGGAATATAGGAATAAATCTGAAATTGTATCAAAACTTTTAAATTTGTATCACAATTTTATTTTTGTAATTAAAAATTTTTAAATGTTTATTTATTTTTGAAGGAGAGAGAGAGACAGAGTGTGAGCAGGGGAGGGGCAGAGAGCGAGGGAGACACAGAATCCGAAGCAAGCTCCAGGCTCCAAGCTGTCAGCACAGAGCCCAACACGGGGCTCGAACTCAAGAGCAGTGAGGTCATGACCTGAGCCGAAGTCAGATGCTTAACCAGCTGAGCCACCCAGGCGCCCCTATTTTAAGATTGTTGCTCTGTTTTCTTTTCTTTTCTTTTTTAATGTTTATTTATTTTTGAGAGAGAGGGGAAGAGAGAGAGCAAGAGTGGGAGAGGGGCAAAGGAAAAGGAAGACAAAATCTGAAGCAGGCTCCAGGCTCTGAACTGTCAGCACAGATCTCGAATTCACGAGCTGCGAGATCATGACCTGAGTGGAAATTGGACGCGTAACCGACTGAGCCACCCAGGCGCCCCATGTTTTCTTTTATAGTAATGGTTTGTCAATTGTCATTGATTCTCGCCACATTCCACCTCTGCAGTATCTTCGAGTTATTGATTGCTGCCTAATAAGCAATCCTAAGACGTAGTGATGTCGAACAACTCTTTGCTTACACTCATTGACTCTCTGGGTCAGGAATTCACACAGGCTACAGCAGTGATGGCTTGTTTCTGCTACATGGTGGCTGGGTCTCCACCAGGAAAATGTCAATGGTTGGGGAGTGAGTCAAACGTTTGGGAGCTGGAGTCACCTAGAAGTTTCCTTACTCCCCTGTCTGGTGCCTGGGCTGTGATCAGTTGCAGGAGGGGCTAAGCTGGGAATTGTTGACTGGAGCACACACATGTGGCTTCTCCAGCTGGCTTGAGCTTCCTCACAACATGGAAGCCAGAGGAAAGTTGACTTTCCTCCTTGGAGCTCAGCGATCCAAGAATGAGTGTCCCAATGAACAAGGAAAAAGTTGCATGGCCCTTTATAACATAGCCTGAGAAGTCACATGGTTTTCCTTCCATGATACTCTTGGTTCAATCTTTTCCCTTTGACCACACTCTTTATTAGTCAAAGAATTTACAAGCCAGCTCAGATTCAGTAAGAAGGACAGAGATCACCACTTTTCCACAGGAACATCAAAGAATTATGGCCGTGTTTGAAAGCCACTGCATGATGAAATACATTCATTCTTCAGTTGATTCATAGAACTCCAACAGGTAAAGTGCATGAGCTTTTTAAACTCTAGTTATAGCTTGAGTGTTTATTGGAACGTGATATTCAGATTTAACAATGTGAATGACAGGTCTTTTTTTTTTTTTTTTTTTTTTTTTTTTTTTTTTGGCATGAAACATCATGGGAACTGGGGCAATCACACACATACTGCTACATCAAGGTATCGATCCCACCCAAGTTCAGGGATGCTAGAGATGAGTGGAACACGCATTTTGGCTATTTGGTCTTGCAAAGGCCAGTTCCAAAATGGGATTCAAATAGCATTCAAGTTGAATACTCAGGCCCAAACTGTACTTCAGTGCATGCATCACATATGATATCCCTTCCAGGTCAGGGTGGTTTTTATTGATACTCCTTTGGGGAGAAGAGGAAGGAGCTTGGAGAGCTCAATATGTCCGAGACTGCACAGCCAGTAAGCAGCATTCTAGATATGTCAGCGAGGGCCTGACCAGGAAACAGCCGCTCTAAGAGTCACTGAGGAGTGTTTCATCAACTAACAACAAAGGTGCTGCCCCTGGGCAGCAAGTTGAGGAAACCAGCAAGGCAAATGAGGCACTATATCCAGGCCTGCAGCGCACGTGTGGGCAGAAGCCGGGAGTTTCTAGAAGTTTCTGGATATTTCCGGAACCTGGGAACTGTAGCCAAAAGAGCTGGCAGGA